ACTGCTTGCAGTGTCCGCACCAAGGGGCATAAAACTCGAGGAGTACTATAAGAAACAACCACAGTAATCATCAAAATGCACATCCAGTAAATATTCTAACTAAAGAACATGTTTGAGTTCAGGGATATGAACAAGACGAACACAAGGAGTAGGATGGAGCAAGGAAGAAATTGAACTACACCACATAATTGACTCGTAACTGTCCACGTGGCAGTTATAAAATGTCATACTGCACTTAAATACATTGTGATACGACTTGTTCGATTAATACTACGTCATATTCCGCAGATGATGATCTTGTACCATATGTTTAATTCTGTCACTCAACATTTTCTGAACAGCTTAATCAGAGCAAGTTGGAACAACTAATCTCAAAATCACGACCATTGTAAGTCCGTCTAGTATGCTTTTAAACTCAATTTATATCATTTTTTCATCAAATCAACTCAATTTATAACATGCTGAATAGCCATGCGAAATAGCAAAATATACAATTTGAAGTTCAGTTGCTTTATTGCATAAGAGTGCATGACAGTGTTACAATAAGTTCTATATAAAGCACTAAGATGGAACTGAACAAAATGTCAACAGTATTTGAACGTCGTAGGGAATACCATTCTTCGCAGAGTTGAAAACCATATCCTGGAGAGTGTCAGCAACCACAACTTTAACAGGTTCGCTGTTAACCTCTGGGATAGGTTCTGATTTTTTGAAAGGTTTCACCTTGCCGTCCTGAAATATGATGTGAGTAAATATTTTAGAAACATTAGATGAAAAAAGTTGCCCACAGAAACAATGCTTCTTGAGAACTTCTCTTTACATTTGATTTGTTTACATCTCAAGCAACACTTAGAATATTTTTAAGAGAAATTCAGTTCATCATTTCAAGAGGTAAAACCAAGGATATGTAAAATGAATTTAAAAGGACTGGAGAAACAATTAATACAAGAGAAACAGGTAAAAGAAAAAGCAGAGTGCTTCATTACCTTAAAATCCTTAACCCATGAAGCAACATGATCAGGCTCAACATTTGGTTTGAGATATTTCTCCCCATCATTTGTCTGTATGATGATTAGAGGTACTTGATCTTCTTTGAGTCCAAAGTACTGCTCAACGAAGCCAAATATATCATCATGTTAACGTCAATAACAAGAAATGATTCAAACACAACAAATACGAAACCTAACCTGGAAGGCACCTTGACTGGCCTCAACATCACCAATTAAGAAACTAATATCATTGCCTTTGTACTGCTCAGCAACTTCATGATACTTGGATTTAAACGTATCAATTAGGTCACTGTTGAAGTTTACAAACAGCATGGCCTGCCAATGTCATACTCATTTATTAGAAACTGCTCGAAATTAATAGGGTAATGGGGAGAAAACGGGGACAAGGCCTCCAGCTCTAAATAGTCCAACACAAAGAGATAATTGGAACTAAACTTCGATAAGGAAACCAGAGTTGGGTGCATAAAGTGCATATCCAGTACAGCAATAGTGGAATTACGATAGCAGAACCACCAGAAGATATGCTATGTCAAAAGTAGACCCATTTTCGACTACAGCTCTAGAAAGTGCAAGCTAGCAGGAAATTAAATAAGCAGCCGCTATGAGAAACAACTTTACTTGATACACATACTTCCGGAGACAAGCAAAATTTTCGGAAAAAACACAGATGAAGTTCTTCTATCCATTCTTTACTCATCTATCTTTGCTCATGGTAGTTGTTATTATACAGGAAGAGTTCATACTGATAACATAAATGAAAGAGCAACTTAGTATCAGGGTAACAAAACATAATACTCTAAAAGGTGAAGAAAATAATTTGAAAGAAAAATCGTGATCCACATTTACTCTCCTATTAGCAAACATCGTTGCTCCAAAACGTAAAACAAGAGACACCGCCTTCGAATAAGAGATTTGGTAGCATATTGGAGAGTAGATACGGGTTTAGACAGCAACAAGACTAACAGAGTCTGCACATGCAATATAAAACTGGTAAACTAAGTAAATGGTGCACCTTGGCATTTGGACTGTTGAAGAATTTAATAACAAAAGGATGGTTATTGGGGTCCTTGTTAAATAGAGTTACAGTTGGAATGCTTGCTGCTTCAACTAACTTTGCTAAGGTATCCACATCGAACTCCTGCAAGTACATGTGATCATAAGTTGAAACATTGTCTAGTACATCAGAAAATGTACAAAACTTTTACACAGATCCAATACCTGGAAATCTACAAAAAGTTCATCAAAAGGCTTGAATAACCTAACAACAGGGCCTGAAACTGATGAATCCCCTCGAGGAAGGAGTTTAGCATCAAAAGTATGAGCAAACTCATATTCAGAACGCAATCTCTCAGCCAGAGCTGTGAAATTCTCATATTTCTCGCCAAAGAACTCTGGGAAGACCCCAACCTATAAGAATTTCAAACCATAATGTCAACTCCCATTCAGCAGATCTCTTAGGGGTTAAAACAATAAAAGAAAAACATATGCAAACCAGTGGGAGCAATTCTGGGTGTTTGTGTATCAGGTTACTCTGGTGTGAGCATATGTGTTTGGGTGTGTGTACACATATATAATGAGAGAGATACAGAGGGGAGGGCACTTACGATAATGATCTTATTGACATCAGTAACATCATCAGCAGATTTAATTTCAGTAGAAGCAGGACCACTTTGTTTCTTTAAGTAAGAAACGATACCATCCGCCTCACGTGGTCCTTTGTAATCTTGAACAACGCTTCCTCCATACCTCAAGATCTTAATTGTAGGGAAACCTTTTATATCAAACTCACTGGCAAGAATCTTGTTTTGCTCCTCATTAGCATCAACTTTGGCCAGAATAACAGGTGGATCATTCTGACTTAAAATTTGTGCTGCTTTCTCATACTGCAAATTACCAAGTGAAGTGTTGAAATGCATTGCACATACTTATGCTCCAAAACCCTATTACCTTTTATAAGATTCTAAAGAATGTGTTAGTGGTTCTTACCTCAGGAGCAAGTTTCTTGCAATGACCACACCTATAAAATATCAAAGTAATTAATAAACATGGAAAGAAATAATTGCTTCTAATTTGAGGCATACAATTTCCTTGTGACTTAAATAGAGACAGCCATAGCAGATAAGAAGAAGAAGAAAAAAGTGCAGCTTATTTTGTTGATTCAATAAAGAAAATGCACTAAAGCTTCTAGCTTTGACTGTTTGGTCAAGCTGCATAATAATGTAAAAACAAACATCATTCATGATTTCATCATTCCTTGGTGAAATTGTCTCCATGTATTTGCTTACCTTGAGTTTTGGAAATCCAATGCTAAGACTTTTTCAACAAAATGGTACAATGACTTTACTCACTTATGAGCAGAAGTTCAAACTCTTACTCCATATCACTTACTTCAGTCAATACTTAAATACATTTTTATCCACCTTTGGTACTCAAAAATTATCCCGAAAACACTATCCTCACAAATTATTCTACGCCTTGTATGAATACCATATGTCTCTAACTTCTACATCAGAATTTAAACGCAAGAAAAGATTTCCCAAAGTAGAATACTTCCCACAGAGGAATATTTTCGTGAAAACCATTTCCCTTAATTAAAAAAGGGCACCCTGGATCTGATAATCTCCGTAACATCTGTTTAAGCTCTTATTTTTCAAACAAAAGACCAATCGACTATCAATAAACAAAAATATCCCAAAGAAATCAATCTTTTAAGAGAAAAGAAAAACAGAAAATATCTGAATCTGAAAGATACGTCTGAATAGAGAAGCTACAGATTCAAAAACTACGGACAGTAATGAAAAAAAAAAAAAAGCAAAGTTGCAAATTGAAAGTGTAATTAGTGAAATTTACCAAGGGGCATAGAACTCGACGACGATGAATTTGTGTTTACCGACGAAATCAGAGAAATTGGAGTGATCCAGTGTCACAACGTACTCCTTCTCTTCGCTCTCAGAAGCATAAGAAAGCGATCCTAGCAATGCGTAAACGCAGAGAAATAAGGAAATCCATACCCTAATCGCCATTTTTTCACTCTTATCTCTTCTCTCAGCTCACTGAAAAAATATCTTCAGTTTCGTTTCTCATTGTGGATCTCACGAGGATTTTATATAGTACTAGGAGTATATTGCTTATGGGAACTCTAACCGTGCGGAGATCTGCCATCTACCATACATGAAATGTCAAAAATGCCCCTGTTATTTTACCAGGAATTCTGTAAATTCTCTAAATGCTAGTTATAATACTCTTTTGATTGAAACATTTTATCATAGATCATTTTACTATTTGTATAAAAATTATCATTCTCATGTTAAAGAACTTGCACTTTATATTTCCCTTTCCTATATTATGTTAGCTAAGTAAAAAAGGTAAAATATGCTCTAAACGTTTATCCTTTTGTGCGTGTAGATTATATCTACGTAAAATAAGAAGTAGAAATATTTTCCTTCAATTATTCCAATTCTAAATGATATGTATTTTGTAATATAAAACATTGATACCAATTGCATCAAGTTGGTCGTTATAGTTTGTATTTATAAGTTCTTTTCTTATCTTGTTTTCTTTTTTTCTTTAAAGCACCTTAATGAGCAGTGATGGGTGTAGTGTTAAAGTGACGAGTTCAATTAAATCCATAATTTTTGACGCGGAGTATAATTTTATAGGTAAAAATTTATTAAATTTACAAAAAATAATAGATATGAACCCATAACTTTAAAAATATAATTGACTCAATATTAAAAATCTTAAATATTGAATCCATAAAGTTTAAATATTATATCTGCCTCTGTTAATGAGTATGGGTTTTTTCCACAGTAACATTTTGTTACTCATAGTACTATTTTAACAAGAAAATAAAAAAGGTGAAGGACACCATGTTACGAATTGAAATATTGGAGTAGGTAGAACATATTTGCCCTAAGTATTTTATGTCAAAAACTATATTTTTTTGCTAATTTAGGTAACAAGTGAGGAGGGTATTAAGGTCATTTAGAGGAAGTAGAATTTCTGGACTCCTTTTCGTGATCCAGGGACCCAAAATTAAAAATATAAAAAAATAAAAAGAAGGTGCAGTTAGAGAACGGGACAAACATGGTACTGACGCGTGACTGAAAATACAACACTCTCGAGAGTAACGTTAACAAAATATACTTCACTCTATGCTGTGTCATATGCAACACGTGGAATAAAACAATTTGTCTTTTGATCCGACGTGGCAAATGAAATACGTCACCTGCTTCCGCGTCACGTGCACACTTAACGTCGTCTCGTTGTGCGAGCCGCAGGTGGTGCATGTGCTTCGATCGATAAGTGGCGTTAGCCTTGAGACAAGCGGCGAAGCCCCAGAAATTATCTTTTTCTTTGTTAAATAGAACTGTTTAAATATGCAATTTTAGAAAATATTTTTAAAATTGTGCAAAATTATGGATGTTTATCGGGTGGATTGGGACGGGTTGAACGGGGAAAATCCCAGCCCGTTCGGTTAACGGGCTGGCTGGTTAACGGGCTGGGATAACGGGTTCTTAGCGGGTTGGGAAAATTCAGGTTTTTTAGGGCACGTACGGGTTCGGGCTTAGCGGGTTCAGGCGGGCCGGGTTCCAGTTATTTTATTTTTTTTAAAATTAAATTTTAGTTTTCTTATTCAATGTTATTGATAGTTAAGTATTTGCAAACTTTTAAGGGTTAGAATTAAACTTTGAAGTTTAAAGTTTTGAAATTTGTATTTTAAAATTATAAAATTGAAATTAGAATGTAAGTGGCTACAAAAAATTATTTAATAAGAGTATAAAACCAATAGGCAATATAAGGAACAAACTCCGAAGGCTTTCATTTATATTTTTAATACTTCATTAATTTGCAAGTTCTTTTTTTTATTTTTTTATTTTTGAACTTGCAAATTAAAAGTTTACAATAATTATAAAAACTAAGAAATAGTGCATCACATGTTTTGCATCATTTTTGTAAGTTCTTCCATGTCAACATGAGGTTCTTGGTTTCCGGGATTAGTTGAATCGGAACCATAAACCATTATATCTCCAATTTCTTGGTCCTCCTCTTCGTCTACCTCGTCACGCCCTTGGTTTCGCCGTTCTGATCTTATCCAATCTCTGAAGCACACTAGAATTTCCAAAGCATTGTTGCCCAATGAATGATGTGTATCTCCTAGCTGCTGCCTTGCTTGGCTAAAAGCGCTCTCTAATGCGACTGTTGAAATCGACACATTTAGCACGTCTCGAGCCATGACCGAAAGAACAGGAAATTGATTTGAGTTTCTCCTCCACCAACCAGCGGTAGAAAATCCTTTGTGAGGAGCTCTGGTGACTTTTGCAAGTAGAATTGTAATTCATCAATATTCTTGATACTGGTTTGTTGATGTTCTCCTAATGTAGAACAAATCTGATAATCTTGAACACAATCATCATTATCCATAGTTGTTCCAGATGTTGAAGGATTAGTTGAAGGAATATTTGCATCTACAACCGAAGAAGCATCAACAATGTTAGCATAATAATTATATAAAGTTTGTAAATGTGTGTGTAGCTCAGAAATACAAGTGTCAATATCAGGAGTTTCAGTTGGGCCAATATCCATATAAGTATATAAAGCTCTAATTAATTGGCAACACTTTATTATTTTGACAGTAGGGTTTAAAATAACACCAATTAGGTAAATATAGGAAATTGGGTAGAAATACTTTTTAAACTTATCTAGCATAGATTCAACAACAGTAGCATATCCTTCTTTCTGCTTCAAATTATGTAGTAAAAGAGAAATTTCAGCAATATGAACTAAACCATTTGAAATGGTAGGATAATAAGCTCCAGAAAACTCAAGTGTACCCACATAAAATTTTTGTAAAAATTGTACAACATCATGAATGACTTCCCAAGTTCTATATGTTAACAAACGGTTAGGATCGGTACAATGAGAATTAGCAACTTCAGTTATAGGCATTCTAAATTTATAACAACATCTTAAGAACAAATAAGTATAATTCCACCTAGTAACTATTTCTTCAGGCATGAGTCTTGGTTTTAGTCCATAGTGTACACATTTTTCCTTAAATGCATTTAATCTAGCACTTCTATTATTTCCTTGAATTACACCAACAACTCTCCTAACTAAAGTAATTTCATCTCTAAATAATTCAAGGCCACTCTTCACAATCAAGTTATAAATATGACATGCACATCTAACATGAAATATTTCAGGAATTGGTGGGTGTAGATGCAATTTTAATATTGTAATAGCAGCAGTGTTGTTAGAAGCATTATCAAATGACATACACAAAACTTTTTCTGCAAGATTATAAAATATAGCAACTTCATGTATAGTATTACTTATAAATGCACCAGTATGACTTTGATCTTCATCATATTTAAAAGCAATAATACGTTTTTGCATACAAAAATTATCATCTATCCAATGGCATGTGACAGTCAAATAATCATTTCCATTCACAACACGACCAATATCAGAAGTAAGAGAAACTTTACAAGGAAGACTTGCGAACAAATAACGTATATATGTCTAATATTGTCCAAAAAGCCTAAAGATATTAGTTCTACGAGTACTTCTAGGAATACCTTTAAACATAGGGTTATAAATTCTTTTAATATAAGTAACAAGATACGGTGAAGAAGCAAAACTAAAAGGTAAACAACCTAAAGCAATCATTTTAGCTAATTCTTCCCGATCTTTCTTAATATCGTATTTCCCAAATAACCCCCCAGTACTCGGGTTAAGTCTTTGTTGCCCAGATGACTCATCTACTCCCCAATCAAGAGGGTGTTTCTCTTCCATATGCCTACGAAGTTGACCCGTTCCCCCTCATTTACCAGGCTCATGTTTATAATGTTCACTACAAATTTTACATTTTACATAATTTTTTTGATCTTCTAGTCTTTCAAAAAACATCCAACACTTCTTAATCGTAGATTCTTCTTAATAGGGAGAAGAGGCCTACTTGTTGCACCCCTAACATTTTGAGTTTGACTAGCATTACCAGGTGTATGTGGTGGTGTTTCAAGATTATCGGGTGATTGAATATCATCTAACAAAGCATCTAAATCATCATCTACACCATAATTTTCTTGCATTCGCTCATAATCTACATTTAAATTTTCAGAAATATGTGTAAAGCCACTAGAAGAACCAACACCACCTCTTGTTCTTTTTGAAGTTTTCTTACTACCACCTCTACTAGTGCACGCTTTTTTGGCCGCTCTAAGTAAATCCATTATATAAATTAAACTATTAAAGTAAGAAATTAAAGTAAGAAATTAAATTAAGAAACTAAATTAATAATTCTAAATAATAAAATAAGTGTACACCAAATAAGAGAAAGAGATGGAACGAGTGTACCGGGATTCCTTAGGCCACACTAATTTTGAATTTTTGATATTAAAATTCAAACTTCAATTGATAGACCGAAACTTGATAGTTGATAATACTTGAATACTTGATACCACACTTCACTTGAATAATTGATATTTGATAATAATAATTTTGTAATGGCTAAAATAAATAATTGATGAAACTTGAAATAATAAATAATTGAGAATTTGAGATTTGAGAATTTAAGAACTATAATATCAAGAGANACACTTCACTTGAATAATTGATATTTGATAACAATAATTTTGTAATGGCTAAACTAAATAATTGATGAAACTTGAAATAATAAATAATTGAGAATTTGAGATTTAAGAATTTAGGAACTATAATATCAAGAGAGAATTGAGACTTGAGAGAGAATTAGAGTAGTAAGAGAGTGAATTGTGAGAAAAAATGAAGAAGAAGGGGGGTTATTTATAGATTTTAAAAGGTTAAAAAAGTAATTTTGCAATTATTAGGGGTGAGAGGGCTATATTTTTAATGGGGGGGAGGGGCGAAATTGGCCATTTTTGCAAAATCTGGTCGTTCCCCAACGGTCATTTCTCAATTTGACTATTGAGAACGGTCCAATTAAATAAATAAAAAATTCCAACGGTAACCGAGCTGCTAACCGAAATTGGCCATTTTTGCAAAATCTAGCCGTTTCCCAACGGGCATTTCTCAATTTGACCGTCGGGAATGATCCAATTAACTTAAAAAA